TTCAGTTTTTACCGCAGCTGTCTGCTTCTTGTGTGGAACACGAGGCTCAGACGTTTGCCTCCTCTGTAACCTGGGGAATGTCAGAGGCAGGTAATAAATGTTGTTGAAGCAATAACCTAAGACTCTTGTCTCAGAGATGCCAGCCTTGAGACCAGGTACTATGTAGAAAAAGAATCCTTTTTGCTTTTGGAAATGATGTTTAGATTTGAGGGTTGGGTTGTTATGGTGTCTGTATCTGTATATTCAATTCCAACATGGTAGAGGTGATTGTGGGGGAAGGAAAGGTTGATATGGCTAAATGGGTCGTTTTTTCAAGGGTTTCAAAAGTTCTTTTTTCCCCCCTTAATTCTGAAGCACCTTGAAATATCACAATGCTAAATGAGGCTCTCCCAGTGTAGCAGTTTTTCAGGCTACACTTAAAAAACCTCTCATGCCCATCGCTATTAGCTATTATCAAAGTTAATTTTTAGAAGCCACCTTTGCAAGTCTCAAACATGTGGCTTACTAAAAGAGAAAAGCCATCAAATAGCATAAGTCATGAGTGGGAGGGACAGTGCTTCAGCTGAGCAATCTCAGCCAGTGATGGGTAAAGCTACAGGTACACACTTTTTGATGTATTCTCCCTTGTCTCAAGAAGGTCAGCAGAACTTGCCTGCTAGGGCTTAACAGCTTAGACCTGATGGTGGCTGTTTGGTCTTCATTGAACACAAATAAATCTCCTCTTAGCATTAAGCCAACTAGCTTCAATACAGTTGTGGTTTCTGTGACAGCAAAGCAAGTATATTGTGGGGCACTTCAATGAGCTGATAAGATATAAACCACATTCAAGTCATTGGTTTTGATCTTGTAGCCCATCTGGCATTTTATTGGAGCTGTTAAGAAGTTAAATGAACATACTTTCGTTCCCAGGATCCACCCCACTCCCCAAAGATCAGCGGCCTTGCTGCCTTGGCTGATCTCCAGTCTTGGTTTCAGCCTTAAGGCCGTGCAGGTGGGGATCGGGGATTGGGCAGCAGTCCAAGACAATGACAGGGAGAAAGGAGATGCTGTGAGAGCCTCCCCAGGGTCAGGCAGGAAGGCCTGAGTGGGATGTTGGGGGAGGGCACGAATACCCAGCCACGCCAGGGGTGAGTGCGGTGGGGGTGGGGGGGGAACAGTCCTCAGCCCCGTATGTCAAGTACAACATTGTCCCCCATTTACCCGGCATGAATGGGGACACAAAGTTGTTCTGATAATGAGCATAATCACTGGTTAGGTGTTGACAAATTAGGTACCATTTTTCACAGACATTAAAAAAACATACTGCCCAAAATAATATATATATAAAGGAAACTGCTCCCAGGCAATGCCCATAATTAACATTAATGTGTCAGCTGTGGGAAAACCAATCCTGCTGCAAAACTATTTCTGTTTTCAAAAACATTTTAACTTTTTAATGATGATTAGGGGAACTGTGAAGAACATGTAGTAAGAGGAGCCACAGAACTCTTCCAGTGAGAAAAGTGACCTGGAGTGGGGAGGACGATTTGCTTCACTGTCCAGTCACTTTTCCCAAGTACATCCAGGGTTACGACTCTGTCCCAGATAATGGAGTTTCCCAGAAGCCCAGACACATGAATCTCTACCAGCAGGAAGGGGGGTGGGCTGTGAACACCATTGAAATGTTCATATTGTGGTTAGCAAAACATAGAAGAAAGGAAAACCAGGGGCTTGGCCGTTTTCATAAAATATTCCTGAATAGCATGAGCTAACTGTCCAAACTGGGGAACCGTTAGCCTTCTCCTGAACGTGATTCTAATAAATTGGAGTGATTTCTTTTTCTTTTTCTTTCTTTTTTTCCCCAACCTACCCGGCAGTCTATTTCTCCCTTCTGTGTAAGCAGATCCTGTTTTAGGTCAGGTCAGATCTTTGCTCCATAATAATAATGAAGAAAGAGACCCATGCTTTCTTAATTGTAACTTGAGGCTTTCACCAGAGCACAACTAGGAGATGTTTGGAGTTCCAATGTCTGGAAGCCCTCATCGACAGCGCAAAACTAAACGGAAACTTTACTTCCATTCCAGACATAGTTCTGTGTTGTCGATTCACTTTTCTAGAGGGCTGTTAATGGGGTCTTTCATTTGTTTGTAGTTACCACCTTCTCCTTTTCAATTTTCCATCTCTTTTAGAAACCAAAGATCTGAACATGATTTGTATCAACAAAGAGAAAAGGGGCTGGGCTGCTTTCCAAAGGATCTTGCCTGACGGCTCAAGCAAATGTGTGTGGTGTGGTGGAGAGCACAGGACCAGAATTGGGAGAGCCGGGGTCCAGCCCTGGCTTTGCCATTTAGCTGGCTTTGTTTCTGAGAACGAGCTGCCTAACCTCCCCGGGCCTGTCTCCACAGCTGTGGGGATTTGAGGATCAAGTAAGATAATGCATGGGAAAAAGCTGGAAGTACAACAGCTATAAGAAGCATAAGGTGTTAAGTTTATATTTCCCTTTTTCCCCTCCTTGGGGGAGTGCCTTTGAACAGTCCTATGGGGGAGGACGGGCGGGGGGTGTGGGGAGAGAAAATTCTCCATTCAGGAGAGCCTGCTCTTATTGCTCAGAGAAAGGATTGTAGGGACTTGGCCACTACCTCCCAGATTTCTGAGCCCATCTCCCCCATTCTCAGAATCTTGGATGACTAGGAGTCTGTGCATAACCACCTCACCATCCTACTCATCCCCTCTTCCCACAGGCCCACAGTAACCTGTTTAAAAAAAATACGACAATAATACTGTATTTTCAGGGTTCCACCAGGACTGGAGCCTAGACTTTGAAGACGCAGGTCAAGGATTGAGAGAAGGCAGAAGAGAAGAGAATGAAGGGAAGGAATCACAGGCTTCATGAGGGAGGTAGGAGGAAGAGCAATCTAGAATGTTCTGTGAAGGTTAGGGAGGGAGACTGAGGACCACCAAGAGAGAATGGATCACATGGGTCAATAGCCAACCCCAGGTGAATTTGAATCACCTATCAAAATGGCTTCTGGGAGAAGAAGCTGGATGAGAAGTCACTTTTTCAGCCCCTGTTGTCACTTAACACAACCTACCGCCAGTCCAGGAAGACAAATAATGTGATTAAAGCAACTCTTCCATTTGTGCTGGATCTCAGAGCACAGCACATGTGGAGTACCGAGCTCTCTCTCAGCCCCTGAAGGGTGTTCACGGTTTATAATAGATCACTCAGGACAATGTAAATGTGAAACCCAAGGAAAGAATCTCTAGTTGTGGATTTTGGTGAAATCTGGAAAGAGTGATATCTTGAAGGGTTTGTGTGTGTTGGGGCCGGCTGGGTGGGAAGGGGCATAACTTCCCACAGCTTCTCAAGTCACATCCTCCTCTTACTGCCAGCTGCGCTTAGAACCCTGCAGAGGACTCAGGTGGTCGCAAAGGACTGGCTTGCTGGATGCATTTGCTGAATTCCCACGTACCTGACCCATGAGATGTCCAGTCCTGAAAACACATCAGGTCCCTGAAGAAACAGGGGGCCTCTCCTTGGCTCTTTTAGGATCTCAGGATGATCTAGCAGGGGGTCCACCTCCAACAGTCCTGGAAGAGAAAGAATGGAGACAAGGAGGGCACGTTAATTTTGCTCCTCTTCTCACGGGGCCACTCCTCTGGGGGCATGGTGGGCAGGACCAGCCTTGGGTGGAACTGTGGGATCGGTTTTGATCTCATGTGTTCCCTTTCTGTTCCAAGCTTCACTGTCACTCTCAGTCCCAGCTTCCAGAACAGTTCCTTCGCTGGTGCCAGGGGCTATGTTCTTACTCATTTACATCTCATCTGCTGTTCTTCCCCGTGATGACCCAAGGAACCATCCTTGTTGATGTCTGATCTTGTTGATTTGTTACTTTTGGAAAACTCTCCATTTTGGCTGGACTCAGGCCCCAAGAGAGAAGCTCTCTGAAGAGAGGACAACCTCCATCTCTTGACAATCTGCTCCTGGTGTTTTTCTTTGGCTTCTTTCATTCTCTTGGCCAAAAGCTTAGTATATTCTGTGGCCTCTTTCTTATTTTGCTTGGCATACTGTTT